CTACACTGAAACGTTCGGGTGATAGGGCTTTTGAGGCCTGTAAGAAAGAGTATCAGGAATGGAAGGAGAAGAACTCTCTTACTTGGTGTTACGTCATAGCATCTTTAGACAATTCGATAAGATCAAAGTGTCCAAGGATATCATGGATGGTCTAAAAACAATGTATGAGGAACATAATCGTTCTACCTGTCAGAAGGTCTTCAAACTGTTGATGACCACCCAGATGACCGAGAGCCAATAGGTCCATGACTATTGTTTAAAAATGATGAGTTACATCAATGAATTGGAGGCTCTTGGTTCTTAGCTCGATGAGGACACTAAAATTGATGCTATCTCAAACTCTCTGCCTCCCTCCTTCAATCAGTTTGTCATGAATTACAACATGAACAAGTTAAAAGTTAGCCTTCAGGAACTCAACAATATGTTGCAGAGGTCCAAAGAACTGATAAAGAAGGATAAACCGATAGCCATGCTTGTTGAAGGTGGCAAGTCAAGCAAGAGAAAGAGGAAGGCTAAGAAAAAACCTTAGAAAAAAGCAAGCAAGCCTAAAAAGTAGAAGAAGGACAAGGCATCGGATGTGTATCACTTCTTTAAGTAGACCGGACATTGGAAGATGAACTTTCATCAATACCTAGAGACCAAAAACAAAGAAGGTAATTTCGAATCTCTTGTTATAGAAACCAATATGTTGGTCATTTCTGCATCCTGGTATATTAACTCCGTGGCTTCTACTCATGTATGTAACACATTGTAGGGGTTCAAAGCAGAAGGTTGAGTGACGATGAAGTAATGCTTTACTTGGGGACTTCTACAATTGTTGCAGCTACAGCTATAGGAACTATAGATTTAATTTTCAGAGATGGAATTGTTAGGCTTAAAGATTGTCTTTATGTACCTATTTTGAGAAGAACTTTGATTTCTATTACAAAATTGTTCAAGGATGGTTATTCTATTTTGTTCAGTAATATGATTACTATTAAACTAAATAACAAAAATCTTCACTTATGGAGAACTTAAGAATGGTCTCTTTGTCCTCCATCCTTTTCTAGGAACTAACATAACCAAAACTACGTCGAAAATTATCCCTAAGAAAAGATCATGTGATATAGTAAATCCCACGTGCATGTGGCATTACCGACTTGGCCACATCAATAGAGATCGTACCACAAGGTTGGTAAATGATGGTCCTTTGGATTTTCTAATTGTAGAAGATCTTATAGCTTGTGAACCTTGCCTTCAGGGTAAAATGACGAGATGGCCAATTGTAGGAAAGCTCGAAAGATCTATGGGCACACTTGACCTGATACATACTGATGTATGTGGTCCCATGAATGTTAGGACATGTAACCAACACGTTTGTTTTATAACTTTCACCGATGATTCCTCTCGGTATGGTTATGTGTACCCAATGAGACATAAGTCTGAATCCTTTGAAAAATTCAAGGAGTTCAGACAAGAGGTCAAGAAACAGTTGGGGAGACAAATCAAGGCCCTTCGATCAGATTAAGGAGGCGAATATCACTTTGACGAATTCAGGGACTACTTAAAGGACAATGGGAATGTATCACAGTTGTCTCCTCCTGCTACACTACAATTAAACGGTATATCAGAGAGGGGACACCAAACTCTATTAGATATGGTCCGATCACTTCTCGTCCACTCAGAACTATCTACATCCTTTTGAGGATACGCATTAAAGACTACGATATACGTGCTAAACCGGGTTCCAACCAAATCCATTCCTAAGACTCCCTATGAGCTCTAGACCGGTAAGAAACCAAGCGTAAGACACTGAAAGATTTGGGGTTGTCCAGCACATGTTAAAGGACCAAGTGTTGACAAATTGGAATCCAAGACCAGTCTTTGCCTATTTGTAGGTTACCCCAAAAGCTTTGTAGGATACCTATTCTATGACCCAAGAGAGCAAAAAGTGTTTTGTAGTTGAAATGCCTACTTCTTGGAAGAATATTACATTCTGAACAATCATCGTCAGGAAATTGTTTTTGATGAAGAGAGCCCAGAAGTAGTGGGAGATGTCCCATACGCTCCAGACAACATCTAACTGAAAAGATCTACCCGGGTTTCTAGGCCTCCATTTCGTTATGGCTATGATCAAGAAAGTTACTTGATGGAAGCCACAATCAGTGAGGAAGATCCCATGACTTATACAGAAGCAATGTTGGAAATAGAGACTTTGAAGTGGGTAGATGCCATGAGAGCCAAGATGGACTCAATGGAAACCAACAAGGTCTGGACTCTCGTAGACCCACCCCCTGGGGTGAAAGCAATTGGTTGCAAATGGATCTACAAGAGGAAGAAGGGCCCTAATGGGAAGGTTGAGACCTATAAAGCTCGATTTGTAGCGAAGGGGGTACACTCAGAAAGAGGGAATCGTTTATGAGGAAACCTTTTCGCCAGTGGCCATGCTTAAATCCATACGGATCCTGCTAGTTGTAGCATTACACTATGCCTATGAGATTTGGCAAATGGATGTCAAAACCGTGTTCCTGAATGGAGATCTTACTAAAGATATCTATATGTAGCAACCGCAAGGTTGCCTTGTTGTGGGTCAGGAACACATGGTGTGTAAATTTAACCGATCCATCTATGGACTTAAGCAAACTTTAAGAAGTTGGAACATTCGATTTAACTCTACCGTCAAACAGTTTGACTTTGAGCAGAATCCGGATGAGCCCTGTGTTTATAGGAAATCAGTGAGAAATAAAATTACGTTCTTGGTTCTGTATGTAGACGACATTCTACTCATTGGGAATGATGTAGGAATGTTGACTACAGTGAAGGTATGGCTTTCGCAACAATTCTCTATGAAAGATCTTGGAGAGGCCTTTTACATCTTGGGACTTCGACTCTATAGAGATAGATCGAAAAGGATAATAGGATTATCCCAGTCTACTTACATTGATAAGATTGTCAAAAGATACAGCATGGAGAACTCCAAGAAGGGATTTGTCCCTTTCAGACACGGAGTCACTCTCTCCTCAACCGTAAGGAGCATCATGTATGCCATGTTGTGCACTCGGCCAGACATATCTCAGGCCATGAGTGTGGTAAGTAGATACCAATCAAACCTAGAACAGGGGCACTAGACAATTGTAAATAACATAATCAAATACCTTTAGAGGACAAAAAAGTTTTGTCTGGTATTCGATGGTAGTTCACTATAGATCCTAGGGTATACTGCTGTCGACTTCCAATTAGACCAAGATGATAGAAAGTCTACATCTGGTTGCATCTTTACGATGGGATTCTGTGCAGTTAGTTGGAAAAGTAGCAAACAAGGGTCCACAACAGATTCCATGACCGAGGCCAAGTACATTGCCGCAAGTGAAGCTGCCAAGGAAGCAGTATGGGTGAAAAAGTTTATTCACGAATTAGGAGTTGTTCCATCCAACACATCACCCATTCTACTATTGTGTGACAACACTAGAGCCATTGCTCAGGCTAAGGAGCCAAGAGCTTACTCGAAGTCAAAGCACATCGAGAGGAAATACCATGTACTGCGGGAGATTGTTGGTAGAGGGGATGTCCAAATTCAGATGGTAGCATCAACGAGAAATGTAGCAGACCCATTGACAAAGCCCTTGACATAGAAAGTGTTTGAGAAACATGTGAACAGTATGGAACTCCGACTTGTACCTGATTAGACCTAAGTGTAAGTGGGAGCTGTTAGATAGTGTATGCACTTAGCTCCAATCAGATTGATGTACATTAGACATTATTGTAAATGAATAAAAGTACATAATTGATTCATGTTATACTTGGTGTGTTTCTATGTAATTACCCTTAAATTGGACACTTATGGGACTCGTGTTAGTTTAGAATGTTCATAGTTGTTGAATAGACCTGGGGAGGTTTATTTTGCCAAGGCTGACACTAATGTGCTGCCAAGTCGGTTGTGGTAGCTTGTCTCAGCTGCCAAGGTTAGAGTCGAAGCATAGGTAGTGTGTGTTTGCTTGAAACACTGAACCCGAACCATTTTCCAGTTATGCCCTGAACCTTAGAGACCGGTGGGCAAAACTGGAAAGTTACATAGCTAACCCCTAGACTCGATTATAGTAATGCACTATATGTCTGATTAGGCTGTCTTTGATATGACAATCAGTGAGATCCTTTGGGGGTCAAAACCTGGGTATGTTGGGGCAATCTGAGAATTCACTCGAGTGGGTGATCATAGTGTCAGGATCAGCCCCTTTGTCAGGCAAAGTGAATGATCGGGGGGGACTGCACTATCTTTGATGGAAACCAAAACTGTTGGCAGTCGATTTCAAAAATGATCCTTAGAAAATGCAATTTTTCTAAAACTAAGAATATGATTCCTGGAAGGGAGAAAAGAAATTTTTGAAATTTTGCCCAGCCACCCTACATGGTTCGGCTATCCATATGATGGATCTCCCTTCCCTTCATATATATCTATGGTCGGATTGATTCGATTTATAAATGATCAAACCGAAACCGATCAAGTCAGATCGAATTGAATTAGTTTGATCGATTTCATTGATTTGATAAACAGCCCTATATGCATGGAACATCTTTGAATTCGGAAATGTAGTTGCACCAAAGGAGAATGAGGTTTTCTTGAGCTATAGTCGAGGCATCATCGAGGTTTTCTTGTGGCTTTTGGGTATGGCATATTACCTCGAGACTCGAGTGAAAGATGCGGAAATCTTCGTTAACAATTCTAATGGAGGAAACCGCATAATTAAGCTGCAAGCATGTTAGAGGTTTTTTACATATTTTCCATTTGTTTTGTAGTTGAATGGAGAATGTGGAGCTGCCCACTTATCCCTATCTTATATGAACTATGAACAGGCTTCAGATGAGTCACATCACATCACATAGTCAGGTCATACGCCATGCAGAACCATTTGTATAGCCTATTGAAGTCCATAACTACCACATGTACGTATACCCTCTCAATTAATTAATTATAGTTATGTCATGGAACTACGCTCATATCAAGGAGCTAGTGTCATATGCTTCTTTTAAAGCGAGGGAGGGAGGCGCATTTATCTGTTATCAGCAACAACCATCTCTTCTCTTCTCCTCTACTGTCCCCAGTTCTTGAGTTCTGATCGAGAGACTGATCAGACTGAGACAACAACGTACAAACAGCCAAGATCAGAAGCAAATGTCGAAATCTCCAGAACAAGAAGAGCACCCACGGAAGGCATTCGGATGGGCTGCAAGAGATGCTTCCGGGATCCTCTCCCCTTTCAATTTCTCTAGAAGGTATTTTTTTCTCTCCCCAGGCAAAAACAACTCATCGTCCCATGCATCTTCATCCTTTTCATTCTACATCCGGAAAAACATAAAAATAAAAACTTTATTTTTCAACTAATCCATCTGCATCTTCATCTTTGACAAACGAAACAGCACAAACAGGAGGCTTTTTGTGTGTAGAAATATAGAATAATGAAATCATTTTTAATAGTTTCTCGATCTAGTAATTTTTGTAACTTGTTTTATAATATTTCCTGGGGATGTAGCCTTTGGATTCCAGACTTTTGCTGTCAAAAGGATGATGGCAGGTGTTTCCCACCCAAAGATTCTGTTTGAATGGATGATGAAACATGTGAGGCATCAAATAGTTCGTAGCCAGAATTGGAATCTACGAGAGGCCGGGTGGGTAGGCATTGGATAAAGAAAAGTAAGGTTTGATGGGGTTTTTAAGTCATTTGCCTTTTTTGCCAGCTGGAATGAGATTCTATTTCCAATGGAAGGCCAGAATGGTCACCCTGCCAAGAATGAGAGTGGGAATCCCATTCTTGATTCTACCAAGCCAACTAATTAAACGGATTTCACACCTCTGTTCCCCCACAAACCAAACGGGCCCTTAGTACTCCATCTTAATGATTTAAAGATGCTATAGCTACCATCTATAATTCCCATGGCCAATACTCAATACAGCCCACACACTGCATCACTGGCAGATAGCACGTACTATGCGTCGGTGTGAATGTGATTATTTAACTTTTCCCAGTAGGTCTCGGTTGGCAATACAAATTTTGCATCTCGAAAAACAATGCATGCAAAGTTTGCACATGTGGAGGGTTTTACTATATTCGATCTGGTTGCAACCTGGATCTACAGGCCTATAACCAATGAAAATTCGTCATGTTTTAATGTCATCTGTTAAGTGTAGGAGAAGGTAGTTGGGGAGAGTAAAAGTGGAAGCAAACTGATGTGGGTAATCCCCATTTTGCTCCTCCACCCATGAGTGGATATTCACTCTTAATTGGTTCCGAAGCAAATGGTACATGTATTATGCAGGGAGAATGACGGTTCAGCACAGAGTTAGAATTTTTAGGCCCAAAGTATAATTAGATTAGATGTCAGTTCGGAATTGATATTAATTCACGGGGCAGGCAGTGATGTATAAAGTGGGGATTTTTAACATTTTGAATGTTTATAAATTCTGCATAATTTTCTGTTTATATTAATAATATTTTTGGATTTCAGGTAATTTTACGTGTAGAATATACTTTACCATTTGACTTTAAAACTTTGTACAACCACCACCAACTACTATCTGGAAAAGGAACCGTTTGCCTTCAGTTTTCCATTCGGGTCAAACAGATTGACCCATGATATCAATAATTTGGAAATCCTCCACCCCCCTGGTTGTATTTCTAGGTATTTAAATTTATGACATGGGGTCCCATCTCCCATGGGTTACATTAAGTTAAAGAGGCTGATATTTCTCTTATACCCTGAAAAGTTATTAATTTAATAGGCTAGGGAAAGAGAGGTAGGTAGGTGACTGGAAGGAAAGAGATAGAAGGAGAAGTGAAAAAAGTGCAAGTTTTCAAAATTCAAAATATAGTGCTGTGAACCCACAAAGTACTGATTGGGTCGAATGGTTTAACAGTTCAACCATCTGAATTAACGGTCTTTCGACTTTTCAATGGCTTTTTTAATAATAGCGGTCCATGGAATAACCGGACCCGGAACCATGACCGTTCCTGGTTCAAATGGTCCTATATACCATCCGGGTTACTGGGGTTTTTAAAACCATGGAGATAAGTAGTTAAGTTTCCATTAAATCCAATGGGATCCAGTCCAGTTTCCACCAACCTAACCCAAACAAGAACCAAGCATTCACCCTCTGGTTGATGATAAAGACTTTATTGAGTGCTATTAGACCCTGAAATTACTATTGGTGGTTGAGTAGAATTTAGAAATACTAGTCAGGACCCGTGCAATGTACAGTAAAAATTGAGAAAGGAGAATTTATGACATTTTCAATTAAACGATGCTCATCTCAGTTCAATTCAAGCATTTTTTTGGGTTATATTTAGTTTATTCGATCACTATTCAAGTTGCACTTTAGTGAGAGTGACTAATTTCCTATGCTCTAGATAAATTTGTATTATTTTTTGTATCTTAATACTAAACATTTTATTAATTTTTAAAATTTTATGATTTGTAATTATTTTTGTATTATTTTTTGTTTGTAATTATTTCTTAAGGGTAAACTTGGTACTTAAAGAAAATTAATGCATTACATCAACATTTTCTATTTTGAATGCTAATGGAAGGAAAACATTTGTTCCTTTTTCTCAAAACAACATGGAAGATTTTTGTTATGGTTAGAACATATATAGGGGAGGTTCATATGATTGTTAGAAAACCCAAGGAGGTTTTATAATTTTCCCTATTTTTAAATAGAATTTAAGTTGATTTTAAATTAATTAATATATATTTAAGGTTAATACGTTTTTATTAATTTTTCTTTTTATTAATTTTAAATAATTATATTAATTTTTTATTTTTCAATGAAATTTAAGTTCATTAGTAAAAATTAATTATAAAACTAATAATTGTTAAATAATTTTGTATTAGTTTTATATTAATTTTAAATGGTATTAGTTTTTAACTTATCTTATCACATCTTTTTAATTTATTTGTTTTTATTATATTAATATTTTTTTATCAATAATAATTAACCATTATTTTTATTTAAGCAATTTAATAAATTATTCTTACTATGGTTAATTAATTTTTATTATTTTAAATAGAATATAAATGGATTATAATTTTTATGATGCTTTATTCAATGTTTTCAACTCATCATTTACTTAGACGGTTAAACCATTCAAAACCATTACTTGGCCATATTTTTAATTTTGGGTTTCCTAAAACCTATTATTTTTTTCAAAAACCATTGATTTGGTCAAAACACATTCAACCTATCTGGTTGAACCATTAACCCTTTTGGTCTAGTCATTGGGTCATGGCCCATGGGTTACAATATACAATGTATTGAAAATTTCTAGAGGACTTTCTGCTTAGTTGTTTGATTGGGGTGATCTTTTTTTTTATTTTGGGTAACTTTTCATGATCTTTGCAACCCCACTATACGAAAAAAAAACTTTTTTTTGTCTCAAATTTCAATTTCTTGCTCTTTTATTTATAAAAAATTAAAAACTAAAATAAGTACAAATTGAACCTAAATAATATAAACACACATAAAATGTAATTATATTATATCATATTATACATATACAAATGGATGATGTGCCATTGTTTGATTTGTCCAACTTGGACAGTTGAACCGTTGACCCATTACCTAGAGGCAAAAACTATTCAGCCTCCAAGTCAGTTTTTAAAACATTGGTTTTATTTGTTGAGTGAATTAAACAATGACTTATGGTTGGAACATAAGTTGTTGAGCCTCATGCCCTAGTTATTACAGTGCAAGAGTTCTTTGTGAGTTGTGAAAAGAAAAAATATTGTCACTGTTGTTTGAAATATTCTTGTTATGTTGCAGGGAAAATGGAATTGATGATGTCGCCATAAAAATCCTTTACTGTGGAGTCTGCCACTCTGACCTTCATTTAGCCAAGAATGATTGGGGATACACAATGTACCCTGTTGTTCCTGGGTATGGCACCTCTCGCCCACCTTGCATAAATTTCTTGTGTTGTGTTCTTGCACTTTTTGTTATTTAAGTAGATGTGGATAAACAAATTTGGAGAAAGGGTATTGTTTATGAAGCTCTGGTTGTAGATAAAAATGTCTCACAGATTTTGATTTCTCAGCTCTGTTGATTTTCTGTTTATTCAAATGCAAATACAATGAATGGTAGTAGGATATCTTCTTTTCTTTTAATTTAGGCTCTGTTTGTTTCAACATAAAATGGATGGAAAACTTTTCAGACTGAAACATTTTAGCTATTATTTCCATCCCTTCTACAGAAAAAAAAAAAAAGAAAATCTTGTTTTCTGCCCCTTCTAATTTGTTCTGATGTAAATGGAAAGAAAAACAAAGTTTCTCGTTGTAAAAGGATATTGAAAAGATTTCCATCCATTTTAGATTGAAAAGAAATGGATTTGTTTCAATAATGAAGTATTGGTTTTATTATTCAACATGTATCTGGTTAAACTCTTGTAGGCCTATTGTTAATCTTATAATATTGTTATTTCTCTCAGAAATACCAAATTGCTTTGTCAAGTATCTTATATCAAAAAGTTGGAGTTTCAAGTCTAACACAACCTTCTATATATTCTTGGAAGTTAAATTGATATTTTTCAAGATGTAGTTAGCAAGGATGCATGCCTGTAGATGCATGTATACTGAAACATCAACCAACTAAGTCAATAAGTCATTCTGGAGAAGATCCTGATGCTTAATTTTCTGGTGCAGTCATGAAATTGTGGGAGTTGTGACTGAAGTTGGGAGTAATGTGACAAATCTTAAAGTTGGAGAGCATGTTGGGGTTGGTGCCATGGTGGGTTCATGTAAGACATGTCAAAGCTGCCAGCAGGATTTGGAGAACTACTGCCCCAAGATGATATTTACATATAACTCCATTAACTATGATGGAACCAAAACCTATGGTGGCTATTCTGATATGGTTGTTGTCAACAAGGACTTCGTGCTCCGCTGGCCCGATAACCTTCCTCCTGATTCAGGCGCGCCTCTGCTGTGTGCAGGGATTACAGTTTACAGTCCAATGAAATATTATGGAATGACTGAGCCAGGAAAGCATTTAGGTGTTGTTGGACTTGGGGGGCTTGGTCATATAGCAGTGAAGTTGGGTAAGGCCTTTGGGCTGAAGGTTACTGTCATTAGTACCTCCCCACATAAGGAGGCTGAGGCAACAGAAAGACTTGGTGCTGATTCATTTATTGTTAGCCGGGATCCAGTAAAAGTGAAGGTACATAATTAATTTTCTTTACATCTAAACTTCACACTTTCACAGAGAGAAGAAACAATAAGAGTGCTGAAAATTATCAAAGATCTCTCAACTAGCATTATCTCACAAACTCAGCTAGTATGATGGGTTGCTCCTGAGTTCATCAATTTCTTAGTTCTGTTGTTGTTTTGGTGATGATAGTGATGGTATTATTGGGATCTCAGCAGATCATTCAGGATTGATTGATGTTAACTCTTTTATCTCTCACTAGTAAAAAGCAACTGCAGCAAACCACCAGAGCAAATGGTAGTAGAGAACATTAGTTAACCATTTTTGGCATGGCCCATTGAGCTTGATAGATCAGATCAGTGCCAAAAGGATGATATCAGTTAGATAAAAAGAAGAAAAAACCAATGGATTAAACAAAAAGATCAATAATCAATCAATCAATGAACCCCCAATAGAAAATAATTATCTTCTGTTTCTGTGCAGGCAGCTTTAGGTACCATGGACTACATAATTGACACTGTATCTGCAGTCCATCCCTTGGCTCCACTTTTGGGTCTCTTGAAGCCACATGGAAAGCTGATAACCCTGGGGCTGCCTGACAAGCCTCTAGAGCTTCCCATCTTTCCCTTGGTACTGGGTAAGCAATACAATAAACCCTTCCAGTGTAGAAAGAAAGATAATCTTGTTCTGTATCTTCTTGTACCATCAATATTCATTACCCATGTTCAGTGGCATTGCAAGATTGGGACAGAAAACAAAACAACTTCCACATGTTAATTTAGAGCTTATATTGTAGGCTTCTCTTTTGACAACAATTTTCTGTTTGTATCATAGGTAGGAAACTTGTGGGGGGCAGTGACATAGGAGGCATAAAAGAGACACAGGAAATGTTGGAATTCTGTGCAAAGCACAATATCGCAGCAGATATCGAGCTGATCCAAATGGACTACATTAATACTGCCATGGAAAGGCTAGCCAAGGCTGATGTCCAGTATCGATTTGTGATCGATGTGGCAAACTCCTTGTCTCAGTATGTAGGGCATGTTCCTTGTCATCATCTTTACAGGACATTCACTCATATAGTTGTATTTTGGAGATGAGCTTCAAAAGTAATGCCATTTTTTTTTCTGTTTTGCAGGTAATGTCTTAGTGTGTCCAACAACAATAATGGGAATGAAAGGCTAAATAGGTAGATCCACCACTGGACACATCTGATGCATATCTAGTCATGAATGTAGTTAAAAATTGGACTAGGTTTTACTTAGACCTGTTGCTTCCCGTTATTGGGATCAACATCTCATAAACCAAGTCAGACCCCATTACTGTAATAAGGTTCTGGTTGAATCTTGGCAATGCCAGTCAACTTTCATTGAACAAGACTACTTATTATCTGAAGCTGATGTTTTCTTGTGCTGCTATTATCACCTCCCTTTACCTATGGTTCATGTCATATTTTATCTAAAAAAATCTAGGAAATGCACTCTTTTCAAATTAATCAGTAAATATATGGATATGTGATATTTTGAACTAAATATACAGATATATACTATGTGGCTATTAATGATAACCAATCACTTGGTATCATACCCTTCTAACTTCATTGAAATTGCTTTTAATGTACTAAACATATGGATTATATGATAGTTTGAACGATTAAAAATCTAATACAAATTATGAATGTATAATTATACCCCCTTAATTAAAATTGATCTTGTACTCAGTACAAACAAAAGTTTTTAAGGGGTGCTTGCCAAAATGTATAATTTTGTTTTCGAAAATAAAAACTACTGTTACAACAAAATCAAGGCCATTACTCAATATTAGTCTCGGTAATCGGAGGTCTTGGGAGGGGAAGACTATTAGACTCCAAACCACATTCTCATACTTATTAACCTGAGATTTTGGCATAAGACCAAGTAAAAGTAAAGCTCCTATATCAACATAAATAATATCCGGATTCATACTGCAAATTCAGACGTTGTGTAACAGGTGAGGACTTAACCCCTGGCCCCCAAAACTTTATTTTGCTTTACCCATTGCCAGTGTTTTCAACCCACCGTTGACCCGGCCGGTTGAACCATTTAAATCATCACTCGGCAAGAATTTTGGGTCTGATTCAGTCAAAACCCGTCAGGCGGTAAAAAACTGTTGACTTGGTCAAGAACCACCCAATCCATCCGGTTCAACCATTGACCCATTTGACCCGGTCACCAGGTTTCGGGTTGTACACTCAATGCATGCAAATTTTTGGAAGTCATAACTTTGCACTCCAATGTCCGATTGGGGTATTTTTTTATTTTGGGTAATTTTTTGACATCTATGCGTCGCAAGGTGTTGTATCCCACTATTTTTGTGAAAAAAAATCCCTTTTTTGCCTCAAATTGCAATTTTTAATATTTTTATAAATAAAAATTGAAAACTGAATTAAAAAACATAAATCAAATATAAAAATACATATAGCATATCTAAAACATAATTATATATTATTTATTGATAAAATATATATTCACACACGCACACACATGCATACAACATACATACATATATATATATATATATATATATATATCATGTGGAACGGTGTGACCCACGACCTAGAGGCAAAACAGTTAGACCTTCAGGTCGGTTTTTGTTTTTTTAAAACATTTCCCATTACAACCCTTCTTAGGAGTGATGCATATTTTTATAGAATCGAATTCCAATTAATTTCCATCTAAACCAAAGGGTGTGTTTGGTTGCAATGCAAATAAATTTGCACTACCGCAAAACTATGGCAATGCAAATGATTTAAGTGTAGAGTGTAAATTCTGGCCTATTTTTGTTTATTTTGTTTGATTGCAATACAAATGAAGTAAATTAAGACATGGAGCAGAATAAAGTAAAACCTAAAATAAAATTAAATGAGAATTTGTATTTTTTCCATTTGCACTCCTTATATAAATAAATTTACACTGCAACCAAACACAGCCAAACAGACAAAGGGAATAAATAACTCCCTTTTTAGGAGATTTTGATTTCAATTCTAATTCCAATTCTAGTTCCTTCCCCAAAGTTGAGATGTAATTGCTTAGCAAATTCTGGTTGGCCTGTGACTCCAGGCTGGAAAGAGTCTCGAGCCAAAGGAGCCATTAAAACCGTTCCAGGGCCCTATAGCTTCTCCAATCTACTCATGTCCAACATTAAATTCGGATCCTTTAATCATTTATAATTATTTAAACCCATGTCCTTCTATTCCTGCCCATGTCTTTTTGTCAGTCCAACTATAATAAAATGCTTTGCATTCAATGGCCAAACAAGGGCTTTTTCGGTAGTAAATGGCCAAACAATTTACAATCTGATTAATTGACAAAATTCCCAAATTTGAACCACCCACTTTTGCGGGCCGCCCACACTGTAGCTCCTCGAAAGGGAAGCAAGCCTGGCATCGCCTGCAGGCTGCAGCATGAGCCCAAGTGAGTTTGTACCACGCCAGGATTATAATTATAATTATAATTTTTTAGAAAATTTGAAAAAAAATAATTAGAATAAAATAGTATAATAAAATTGAAAATAAAAATTATGTATATATATATATGTACATAAATCAGACCAATGGACCGAATTTCTTGGCTCACAAAACCCAAACCTAGCACGGCCCAATGGTATGGGTCAGGCTGTGGCACGACCTCATTGCTATAGTGACTTAATAAGGTTCATATCGTCTTGGGCAATGTCCGCCCACATGTCGCATGGCCCACTTTACAGCTATAGAGTCTAGTGTAACTGCTTTGGTTTGGTCATCAAAGAGGGCATGCTTGCAAAAACATATTATTTTGTAATCAAGCAGTTTTAGGAAAAATTTTTGGCTGTCCAAACTCAAACAGCCTGATCTGTCATCTGGGCTCTCTCCCTAGTCTCTACATAACATATTAGTTCATTTAGCATAAATACTTTTTACAAGGAGTCTTGTGAATAATCATGTCATGCAAAGGGCTTGTTTTAACCCATGTTTGGGGTGCTTACTTGATAAAATAATATAAATATTTTCAAAATGATGAAGTGGGCCCAGATCATTTACTAAAACACCCCTTATAGCTTCATGAATTTACTAAAACTTATCCTATAGTTTGTGTTTTACTAAAACATCCCCTGTAGTTTGCAATCAATTTACTTAATCAATCTTCCATTAGATGAAAGTGGAAAATGATAGTTTAACACTAACACTCATTCAAATAAATTTAATCAAAAGAAACTAAAAACAAAAAATCCATTTTTGCCCCTACTAAAACATGGACAACCACTTTATTTTTCTCTGTTTGATCAATTTTGTTTTCTGTACAAAAAAAGTGTTAAGGGTACTTTTGGAAGAAACAACCATGGGTCCATGCCCTTTAACATTTTGCACTTAATTTAGGTGATCATGTTACTATTTTCATATGACAAACACAAATAGTTATTGATGAAAGGTCAAGTAAGTAAATAGTTTGCAAACTATAAGGGGTTTTTAGTAAAATGCAAACTCAAGGGTAGGTTTAAGTAAATATGTGAAACTATAAGGGGTATTCTAGTAAATGACCCATGGAAATAAGAACTTATTGAATAAGTGCTTAAAAATATGCTCAAAATCCAGGCTTCTTGAATAGATGCTTAATTTCAAGATTAAGCATTTACTTAGGCTTATTTCCTCAAACTCAAATAAATGCTTATCAGTGTAGCCTCAGCCCAAAATAAGTAGTTAAAATAAACACTTGAAAATAATTACTCCCAAACATGGGCTTAAGCATCCAAATGAATGGAATTTAATATATTTCCAACTTTAAGGTAAATGGTATCGTTTTTACTCTTGGTTATAGGTCAAATGGCCCGACCACCTAGGTCACCAAAGGGTCACAAACACTATATGGCTAGGTTGACGAATTTGTCATGTAGGGTTGGCCTTGTTGACAGCCCCACTGCCCCAAGTTGTTGAACATGGACAACTGAATTTTTCCCAATACTTCAATGTTTTATATGTATCTGTCTAGTTTCATCAGAATGTAACGATTGCCTTGAGAGTAGATCCATGGCCTCCGAACTACTATTTTTTATTATTACTATAAGTGTACATGTTCTTTGCACATAATAATGTTTATGATGATGATGACAATAGTAAAAAATAGGTTTCCAAATTTTTTTACAATTTTTTTTATATTTTTATGTCTGTAAAAATTATTTGTATTTTCCATACTTATTTTTGTTTAATATGATGAAGATACAACAACTATTTGTATTATTATTTTTGTTATCTCTATTGGCCCTATAGATAACTCAGCTCCAAATTTCTTAGAGAGCCCTCAAACAATGGTGTTAATAGAAGGGGAAATGAGAGTAGGAATCCTGGCGGGTTTGAAAGGTTGGGAGGAATCAAATGTATGGAAGGTGTTATTTCAAAGGGGAGGGAAGCGACAAAAACTAGGAATTAGGAACAATACAACCCAGAAGTTGAAGGCGGTATGACTGGTGATGACATTACTCTTAGGAAATGGGCAAAGAGGTTGGGATTGAGAATAAGTAGCCATGAAGGAGAAAAATTAAACAGGAAAGAGAAGGTAGAAAAGAAAGAAGAAGGGGAGGATGAAAATAGAAAGGAAAAATCTGAAAAAGAGAAGGAAATCTCAAAGGTTAGTGGAAAAGGGGGAAGAAGGAAGGGAAGGAAATAGGATTAGAAAGTTAGGGAGTATGAACTATTTGGAGATAGGAGAGGAAAATCTTAAGCTAGAATGCAAGAGGTTTGGGGATTGCAAAAAAAAAATGGAGGATTATTAAGTGATATAAGAAGAGAAAAACCAGAAGTACTACTGATCAAAGAATCGAAGGTCCAAGACTTTGATAGAAAATGGAAACACAGTATCTAGAAAGGAAGGGGAATAGGATGGAGTTAGACTCCTTCCTAGGGAGCATCTGGGGGGATAGTTACCCTTTAGAGTGAAGAATTAGTGGAGTGTATAGAGGAACTAGTAGGCAGATTCTTAGTTTTTGTTAAGCCGAAAAGTGTAACTGATAATTTCGTGTGGGTGATAACAAATGTTTATGGCCAACTTCATACAGGGAGAGGAGTGAATTGTGGGAAGAATTGGCGAACATAAAAGGTCTCTAGCAAGGCTCGTGGTGTTTGGAAGGAGATTTTAATATCATTAGATATATTGAGGAATCTAACAACCCAAGACAACGAATCACAAGCATGAGGAATTTTAATGATTTCATTGAAGCTTTTGAGCTTAAAGAGGTTGAAATGGGGCAATTTAGATTTACCTAGTCAAATTGCCAAGAGAATCCCATTTGTTCAAGACTGGATAGATTTCTAGTTACATTAGATTGGGAAGACCATTGGAAGGGGGTGAGTAGTAGAGTATTGCCTAGACTTAAATCAGATCACTGGCCAATTAATATATAGAAGGGA